TCAGTTGGGTCACAAGGACGTATTATAAGTTATGAAATCAGAAAGGAGCATCACAAATTAGCAAAGAAGAATTTTTGGCAGTGGCGTAATGCATGGAAAATAGGGCATGCTAAAGAGTGGCCAGATAATGTGGTTTTCATTAATCAAGATATTTTGACTGCAGCTGAGGATTTGAAATCTGTAACATTTGATGCAGTAAGTATTTGTTTTCTAAAAGAAAGTCAGAATTTCCTGTTCTAATGCCAAAGTGGCTTAGTGACTTAAAATAGATAAAAGCCCCATCAGCACCATAAGCAAACACATTTAGTTTATGATGACTAAGCCATAATCTAGCCAGTCTGACATCATGGTTTGTGAGTTTGTGCTGCTATAAACGTTGATGTGCTTTATGCTAAAACAGGTATACTGGCACAAGTCTTATACTACAATAAGTATGTCTAATACAAGTACCCACTAAAATCAATCCCTTGTGTTGTACTTTAAATATTATTTAAATGTTTTTCCCCCCTTTGGAAGGTAGCTCTGGACATGCTTTCCCCTCAGAATGCTTTGCCTGCAGTTTTCCCAAGTCTCAAACAAGGGGGGGTCTGTGTTGTATACTTCACAAAGTAAGTATTCATTCTTTAAATCTTGAGGTTTAGTTTTCAGTGCCTAGAGAGTACAATTGTGCAAAGCACTTGAAAGAGTGCATGGGTGCATGAATGAAGCACCTCTCTTTAAACTTTTAAAGCAGACAAACTTTTTAGACTAATACTGCTGCCTTAAAGCTGCTTCTGGTTGCCTCAAATATGTGTACATGTAGAATCACTTCACTTTGCAGGAAAGAATGCAGTGAAGTGGCTGTGATGCACATGCATATGAATCAATTCCTGGCCTTCCGACACTGCACCAGTTCTGTCTTCTTTCACTCCCCCCCCCCAGTTAAGAATGGCAGAAACAAAGCAAGCAAAACAGACATTTACTACTCTAATAAAACAGGCCTCTCATAGATTAATATTTTGATTGCTGCAGGTTCTGACACTAGGAGTAGAAACCACATGAATCTTGCTGCTATACATTCAAACTCTCACACATTGTGAAACATCTCACTCAAATAGCCTACCCAATTCTCATAAGGTAGCTTTATTAAACCTAAATGGTATCATGCATTTTGTATCTAGATGCAGTCATTAATAACGTTGGGTTTTCAAATATCTGAATTAACTGAGGATGACATGGTTCAAACACAATAAGCATGGTCCATGATTATTATATCATAGAATTGTAGAGTTGAAAGGAACCTTGGAGGTCTTCTAGTCTAACCCCTTGCCAGGTCAGGAATCCTCAAACCATCTCAGACAAATGGCTGTTCAATCTTAGTTTGACTACCTCAAAGGATGACACACCCACAAGTCCAGGAGGCAGGCTGTGCCGTTTCTTAATAGCTCTCATGGTCAGGAATTTCCTCCTTATTTGAGGCTTGGATCTCTCTCTGAAAAGCTTTCACCTGTTGGTTCTTGTCCTCCTCTCAGCAGTTGAGAATAATCCACAACCTCTTCCCTGGGGCAGCCCTTCAAGTATTCAAGACTACTATCATGTCTCCTTCTCTTCTTTAGGCTAAATGTACCCAGTTCTTTTAACAAATCTTCATCGGATTTAACCCTAATCATCTTTGTTACTCTTTTCTGCTCTCTTTCAAGTTCCTGTATCCATCTTATATTGTTGCGACCAAAAGTGGACACAATATTCTAGGTGTGGTATGTCCAGTGCAGCACAGAGCAGAACTATCACTTCTCATGATCTTGACATTATATCTTTATTGATGCAGCCTAAGTTTGCATTGGCTCTTTTGGCAGCTACAAAACACACTGCAGCTGCCAAAAAAAGAGAGAAAAAACAGGAAAAAACAACTCCCCTCTAGTGTGTTTATATGACAAACTAAGCCAAACTTAGTATAACTTTACAAACACTTCCTGGATAACAAAGCAAACTAATAGTCAGCTGGGTTTAGCAGTCTCTTTTTGTCATGATCTTCCAGAGTGACAAAAACCTGTCTACTCTGTGAATTCGGAACCCCTCCTTTAAATTAACTCCTAAATTTGTTTAGCAGACTCTTCTGACCAGGTATTATCACATTACCAGTCTATTTTCCATATTTTCCAAGCCCATCGATTCGTCCCTTTCATATAAGATCCAAACCTTGGTTTGATACAGATTGTTATAAAGCAAAAAAAAAAAAACCCTCCTCTCTGCAGTATATGCTGTTCAATCTAACAACTCATTGGGTTCCTTTCAATCACTGAGAGAGTACAGTAAGATCTATAAAGATCTTTTAAAAATCTAAGAAACAGCAAGTGTTGAGAAAGGATTGGAGCAGATTAACTGCAGCAGCTAAGTTTAAAAATCCTATCTAGTTCTCGCACTTAGTCAACTGCTCTGTTATGGGTTCAGGTCTTATGTGCAAAATCCTGCTGATATTTGGGAGAATTGCTTTCAGGGCATTTTAAATATAGAATTATTAAATTACCTAGTAGTGCTCCCCTATTGTAATGTACCTCCCAAGTGGCTGCCTGGGTCTATAGCCAAAGTTAAGGATTTCATTACACAATTGAAACCTGGGAAAGCTCCTGGAGGGGATTTCATCCTTCCAGTTACTAAAGGAAAATAAAGGTTGGTGGGCCCCAGTGCTGGCTGATCTATTTACTTATATTAGCAGCACAGCACACTTTCCATCCGAATAGAATGAAGCCATTGTTATCCCTTCTATTAAAATAATAAACTTGACCCTGCCAAGTATAGACTGGGATTACCTTGCTTAACACAATAAGCAAACCATATACAAAATACCTTTATTGAGAACTATTGGATTGGGTCCAAAGTGAAAATATTCTTGCTGAAGAACAGGAAGTATTCGGAGAGGACCGTTCAGTCTTGAAACATTGTCTGGTCCTGAAAAATTTGGCTGAAAAATACTCCTCACCACCCAAAGGTCCCCTTTTTGCAGCCTTCATGGATTTCAAATCAGCTGTTGATTTTGCTTCAAGGGAGAGGCTATGTGGAAAACCATAGAGTTCCTCAGTGGGTAAAAGATTCTTATCCAGACACTTTATTCTAACCTCACTGAGAGTTAAATGATTCCCCTGAGGGCATTTTTTTGGAACTGTTACCAGAAAGAGGTAAGGCAAGAGGTAAGGTTAGCCTGTTTTTGAATCTATATATTAACTCAATAATTCAGGCTCTCATGTCTGCTTATTAGCCTCCAATATTAGCAGCTTGTGCAATTCCAGCTTTGTTATATGCAGATGACATATGCAATAATGCTATCTGTTTCCCAGGAGAGAATGAGAAGGGCGTTGAGGGCTTTGGCTTCCTTTTACCCAAAATAACAATTTGTAATAAATTATTTAAAAACTAAACTGTTAGTTTTTGTACAACAGTACAATAGGATGTATATATGATAAATTAATGAGAGCCAATAGAGTAGGTATGCATCTTGGAATAAAATACCAGGCTTCTTTATCTTGGAGTACACATTTCTCTTATTGGGCCAGTGTTGTTCAATATAGCTCCTCAACTACTGTGAGCTTTTTTTCCCTTCAAAGGGAACACATTTTATTCCTGCAAGGTCTTTCTTCCTAGGGTTATTTCTCAGCTTCTTTATGGTGCTCAGATTTGTACTTTTCCAACGTTTAATAACCTGAAAGTTGTCCAGTCCAAGTTTATAAGAGTGATCTTATAAGTTGCATTAAAAATGCTGCCTTAGAAATAGGTTTGGTTTCTATTGGTGCCACAGCTTGGCACTATCTCATTAATTTGTAATTAATTTCTTTCCCTGTAGGTATGGCCCCCATTGGTTCTCAGGGACTGTTTTAAATCAACTTGGCTAAAAAACACTAATAGCAAACCCCAGTCTTTAGGTCTCCTTTGAGAGCCTTTGCCCATTAGTTATCGTGATCCTTCGGTAGCTTTTTGAAGGCTTTCTGAAACATCACGAGAATGGTGCATGCTGTTTGGAGAACAGCGTGAATGGCCTCATGAAGAAGGCCTGGTGCAGCCAGCAGCTGCCTCGCATAGGGCCAGGCTGGGCATGCCTTGTCAGCAGCAGGAGGAAGATAGTGAAGGTCAGCTGGGCACAGCAGGCCTACAGAGCATAGGGCGGTGGGGGCAGCTGGGGCTTTGCACTGTGGCACCAGGGTGGCTGGCCACGGTATAGGGCTTGAGGTAGCAGCCTGGGCGGTACTGGGGCTGAAGTAGAGGCCTGGAGGTGGTGACAGCCAGCTTAGACTGCTGAAGGCCCCAGGCCTCTACTTCAGTCCCAGTGCCGCCACCACCAAGGAGTGGCACTGTGCAGGCTGGCCAGAAGAGCAGAGATGGAGTGGGAGATAGGTAGATGGGGGAGTTGAAGAGAAGGCAGAGGGGGCAGTCCCTTACCTTATCAAGGCTCAGAGCTGGGAGGGATCAAGCAGGGAATGGCTTGGACTGGGGTGGGTCCTTGCCTAACAACCAGTGGGATTTGGTTAACAACAGCAACAGGGACTGCCAGGATTGCCATCAGTAAGCAATGTGGTCATATGACGTTGTGCTTTACAACCGTATCGCTTAGTGATGGAAATTCCAGTCCCAATTACCATTGTAACTCAAGGACTACCTGTACTTAGATTTTACATAAATATAAGAAAAAACATCCATATCATAAGGTATGTATAACAGTGGAAAAGTTTACTTATGGAGGTTGTGGATTCTCCATCTGGACAGACGCCTCTAAGAATGGTTTAATTAGTTTTCTGTACATTTCAGAGAGGTTGGAATAGATGATCCTTATGGTTCCTTCCAACTCCACAATTCTATCATTCTGTCATAGAAGTGAAAAGTAAGATTAAAGCATCATGCTGAGATGTAGTTGAACTTTTGTTTATTAAACCATAATGGCTGGATTTATATGGTAATCTAAGCCAATGCAAACAATCCACATTATGGCTTAACTGTTATATGAACTCAATATGTCTACAGTTGTATAAACATTTGCTGGAAAAAAAAACTTTCTAATAACAGTGGGACTAGACTGAATAAATATGTATTCAGACTGGGCTACAAGATAAATTCTCTTATATACATTTTTATAAATTCATTTGCAATACCCATAATTGCTTATTTCTCCCAGTATCACTCAGGTTATTGAACTGATTGAAACAGTCCGGATCAGGAAATTAGCCCTTTTCTGTGAAAAAGTTTTAGAAGTAACACATAGAGATTGGCTAATATGCCCAGCTACATGGGAAAAGAGAAATGTTTTTGAAAATATAGCATCTGAGCTAAACTTCAATAATGAAACTGCTTGTCATTATGAAAATGATGTTTCTGCTGAAGAGAGAGGAAATGAAGGTAGGAAATAAATTATAATGGGTTCTTTGTAATAGTAACTGAAATATTGTATCCTAGTCATATGTCTTGTTCAGAAGATATGTAGATCATAGATTGGATTTATGCATACTAAATCATATTTACTTAACTGTGGTTTGCTGAGTAAACATCAGCTTGCTTGATTCACACATTATGAATGAACTATGAAGTCCCTGGTGCTCTCTGAGCTTGGTTGTTTGCTTGCAGAAGTTTCACTACCCAACTAGGTAACATCATCAGTGTGAGTAAGTGTGGGGTTTTCTCCCTGTTTATCTACAGTACCTTACCCTGCCAGTTTTGGTGGGGGTGTAGTTTTTTTCCTTGGTAGTTCCTTGATTAGAGTATTGTTTTCTGCTTGATTGTTTGTCTGGTGTTAATCTCTGCTTATCTGGGTATTGGCTACTGGAGACAATGTGTTCTTGTCTTTTTGTTTCCTTCTTAGCTTTTTATTGTGTCTTTTGAATGTTGTGTAAATATGGTTTATTTCTGTGTGTCTATTGATGGCTGATTTGTCTGAATGGCAAGCTTCCAGAAATTCCCTAGCATTCACCCTGAGCTACATATTCTCTTCCATTTAAATTACTGTATGAATGAAACAAGCTACATTAGGACTTAGCCTGATGTCTGACATTGCTTTCCCTGAGGGATGACAATGTGAAATAAAATTCATGTCCTCCTATGGGAAAAGAACAGGAAAAGTGGCTAAGGTGCCCAGAGCTGGGGAGAAAAGAAAATGAGGATTTACACAGGGATGGGATGTTCCATAGCAGTTCTGTTTCAGGAACAAATTAGAATTAAAGGATATTGATCACTTACATATTTTATTTTATCTCAACAGTTCTTGTTTCAGCCAATGTAAAACCATGGTATATTGCTAAGCCTTTCCCACATCAAGTTGGTCAGACAGGTAAGAATGACTTAGCAAAAGTTTTATAAGTTATACATTCATTATTACTGTGTTTTTCATAAGCACTATGAAAGCATTTTTAGAAATGAAAAATGAATAATAAAACACTATGCTATTGTCTATTAAATCATTAATTTTTCTCTCCTTCTATATAGTATTCCTTGTCAAGCTGAGGAAATTTAATTCACTATATCCAAACACTGCTCTAGATGGTATGGGCCAATCTGAAGATTGTACTTCATCAGAAATAACACATTAAATTGTGTTCTGCTATGTGTATGATTTGGGAAACATTGGATGTGTTTTATATTGACTAAGATACAGTATGTTTCAATACAGTATTGTGTTTTTAACAAATAAAATAAAAGAATAATAAACTTAGACAACAAATATGTTGATATATATTTTGTGTTTAGTTCAATTAATTGCATTTCCTACTCATTTCCAGACTTGTTGAGTTTTGTTATTCTTCATTTCCAGTAAACCAGTCCATGGATTTATCTCGACTATTTTTTTCCCCATTATTAGGTAGTTCACTAGAATCTATAAAAAAAAATGGAAGTATATGGGAGCTTAAGAGAGTCATTATGGATAAACTAGTATGTTTTTTGTATAATTGAGAACAGGTTACATAAATAGGAACAGTAGAATGAAAAACCCAGCTAGCAAAATAAAATTGTGAAGAGGCTTTCCAGTGAATCATACAGTTGCCTAGAATACTTCCTGTTGTTCTTCCCTTTGGCTCATTACCTCTTATGTTCTTGGTGCATTAGATGTTCTTTCATTATCAACTTCTGGGTTCCATCACATAGTACAAAGGACTACAGATCAAAGGCTTTCGTGTTACTTATTTTTACAGCTGTATCAATGTTGATATTTTTGTTTGCTACCAAAACCATCAGTGAGACTTTATGGAGTAATCAAGAAGTCAGGAAGAATGAATGCAGATTGCTTACTGATCCAGAAAAAAAAAATCATGCCTAAATCTAAGTAACTTCAGTGTTTTTAGTGTCCCCAGGATAAAGATTTCATGGCTTTCATGAAATAAATTTACTTCATGGTAAATAAATTTCAGAAACTAAGTTAATGAATTTAGCAGAATATATCCAGAACAGTATACTTTTCACAATCCATTTCATTTTTACATTCGCTGTATTGATACCACTTATACACTTCCTCACCCTTAAGTTTGTTGTTGTTCTATGTTTATTAAGAAAGAAACATTGCACCCTTATTCAAAATGAATGTAATACCACTTGCTTGGAAGTTGGTAAGTGGTTTTGAGAATGAATCGGCTAGGCTTACTTTTCTGCTAAACTTTGTTAGCTTTGTGCAAAAAGAATTAAGCTTACAGGTAAAATTATGCAAACTCACAATTTAAAATGAGAAGCATTTATGTGTGGTCATAATTTTCAAGCACAGAGACAAAATGAAACTTCTATCTGAAGAAAAAATTGGCAGGAAAATAACGGAAATACAGGATGAAGTGAACACAACAATCCCCTTGCACAGGCATCAGCAATGGATTATATAAAATGTGATCTGTACAAAGTGTAGGGCAATTAATGTAACAATAACTTATCTAAAAGGCTTCATAGTTGTTGAATCAATAGGTTTATCACAATTGTGAATATTATTGAAATCATGATTCAGCTAAGGCCTGTGGACTCAAAAGCAAGGTTTCACTCTTTTCTGTAGATTGAAAATAACAAATGCAAACAAGGGATCATCAGTTTATGGAGAAAAAAATAAAGCTTACATTCTTATTTATTTGTATTTAGTTCTTTTAGTTTCTATTCTCTCTCAGGCCATTTATATTTAAATATTCCATACATCCTGAAGGAGAATCATTTTGCCATTCATAAAACAAAATTCTGCTAATCCCAGCTGAATAATTGTTTCCCATTTTGCTTTTAAGAATATGAATTTTATCTAAGACCTCAAGCAGGGCAATCAACCAAATCTGACTCAGCCATTTTTTAAGTGACAAATTATCCAGATATTTCCATAGTAGGCAATGATTGACTTTGCTACTAAAAGCAGGTAAACAGTTTTGTTTTGTTTTTGTAATTTTTTATTCCTTCCATCCAATATATGTTATAAGCCAAATTTTAGTGAGAGGTTTGTTTGATTATTGCTGTCATTTTGTTAAAAACCTGCCTCCATAATTTTGAAATTTTACTGCATTCTCACCAAAGATTCCCTTTTTGATTGCAAACCCTCCAGGATCTAATAAAGTAATTATGTGCTATATATGAAATTCTTATAGGGGGTAAATGCCAGCAATGTAAAATCTTCAGGAATAGTTCCTGCCTTGAAGCAGATAAGAATTCCCTGGACTTCCACAAGGGCTGCCATATTAGATCATCCAACTGCTTGGCTACATTTGACTCCTAAACTTGTTTCAAACTTAGTGCAGGGTTATCTTTATCTATTTCCAACAGTGATCTCATTTTGATATTAGACCTTTAAATCAAAGTCTTAAATTTTTCCAATCCCTTTTTCCCACTAAAAAGTGGCTTCAGAAAATTCTTTTTGTATGCATGCTAAATATGCAGCTTTGGCTGCTGCTGAGGTGCTCTTTTATATCTTTACCATACATAGGATTGTGCTCTGAATATTAAATATAATCTGAATCTGTATATCAGAATGGAATTCCCATCATTGGCCATTGTGACTACAACTTTAGAAAGTGACAGTATTTTAAATTTAACCTCATCCTGTAGTATTCATGTGGACACAAAACATAGCCAGTGAGAGAGATATGTGATATATGTGATCTCTAAATATACAGCCCTTTTGACTTCTTGGCTAGAGTTAGACTACAAATTTAAGCATTAAAGTAATCATTTTATTTCTGTGGACACTTATCATCCTACCTTGGGAGTAATGGTGATAAGAAGAATCAAGGAGCATTTTATCAGCTGGATCAGGCAATCCAGGAATGATGTGTTGCTCTATCATTTCCAGAGTGTCAGTGGAGGAAGAGGATGATAATCCCAGACTTATATATCGTGTTTTTCTCCCACAAAGCGAACAGTCTGCAGGTGTGGCATTGGGTCCTCGAGGCAGCTGTACTTCATTTCTGCAACTATTTCTTATAGCTCCACTATGATAGAGAGAACGTTCTCGCTGCCATACATAATGTGTTGAAGCAATTGCCATTACCTGTATCAAGGAATCTTACCTCAGAAAGGACTGCATCAGAACTATCAGATAGCAAATATTGCACAGAAATCATAAAGGCTAGTGGGCAAGACTGATTTTCTTAACTAACAAGAACATCATTATAAAACAAAACAAAACCCTGCTATTTATTAGCAAAGTTGGGCTAATAGGTATAGAGCAAGGGAAAGAATAAGAGAGGAGGGACCATTTTCAAAAGAGTGCTAGATTTGTTTTCAGAAAAAGCCCAACTAAAAGATCAAAAGCGCAGAAGAGAGGTTGCAAGAAACATTGAGGGCACTCCTTACAGCTTCATCTCATGCCCCTCTCTACCAGTGGCTAATCGTTTGGGCTAAGGCTAACAGGCGTTGAGGAGGGGAACGGAATGAAGCAAAGTGCCGTAAAGGTATAGCAGCACTGGCAGTGAGTGGCTGTGACTAGCTGTATCTGGAAGTTGCCCATGGAGTAGGCAAAATGGCACTCTCCCCAAGTAATAGAAACAGTAAAAATGAGATGAGAGAAAGGCAGTGTTGCAAGGACATGTCATATAAAAATGGTTACTGGGACATGTTTGTGCTGCACTTAGGGGACATGAAGATACAGTAAGCCCATAGAATTACATATGACAGCCTAATCCTATGTAAATTTACTTTTGAGGGAGATCACAACTTCAGTGAGGTTTACTTGAAAATAAACATGAAATGGATTGTTCTTAAAGCTAAGATCAAATTAATCATGTAGTGTACATTGTTCATAGGTGGTTTCATATTTTACAATAAGTGCTAGCATCATATTTTCTGAAACATGCACCCACTTTGATGAAGATCAATTATTTATTAGAGTGCTTTGAAAATATAGTAACAACCAGTAATTAAACTGAGTGATAATAATTTTGAGAGTGTTTAAAAATAACTACTAGATCGCTGAAAACAAAGAAAGGTGCTCCATTTGAGAACAGAAGTTGTTCGTTATAATTCAGCTATCCACTTTCTTAATACATATAAAACACAATTTTCTTACTTCTTCACAGCAACGTCTGCTCACTATAGCTCTATAGTCCATCTTACTCCAGAGTTCATCCCTCAGAGCCAAGAAATCTGGGAAGAGCTTTCTCCAAGCTTTTCCTAAAGCCCATGGGAAAATCTCATATTTTGACTCTTCATCATCTTCTTCAACTGTATTTGCAAGGTAGCTGCAATAACATGTACTATGACAGTTAAATATAACTTTAGACAAATGTTTACCATTGCCTCCCATCTTTTTTCTTACCCCTGTCCCCAAATCGTTACAGATTGCTCAAAACAATTTAGTTTGGACAAATGTCACTAAGCTTATTTTTCATAGTAAGAAAATAGATTATCATTTTTGGCATTTACTTATCTTAATCTAATATTCAGAGCTCCAAACTCACAACTGTACATGCAAAGGAAGTCAAAAGCCAAAATACAGAATTAGATACAAATTCAGCATCCTTAGAAATGTCTAAGTCTTGCAGTTTCAGAATGCAGAAACAGTGCTAAATGCAAATCAAGCTAAAATACCTGTCTAGTTTTGCATAATTAATATTTCTTTTATGTATGCATTTATTTAAAAGATTTATATGGCTGCCATCTTACACAATATAACCCTAGGAGACTAAGAACAATCAGATCAATACAAATATATTATTGTTTATTACACAAACACAAAACTAAAGACTATCACACTCTAATGAAGGTACCATAACAACAACCCACCAGCTGCCCACACCAGCTGAGCTCACATCCTGGCCCAGCACCCGGGGAAAAGAGCCAGGTCTCATGGCCTTCTGGAAGACCAAGAGAGTAGGGGCCCTCTGGATCTTAGGGAAGAGATTGTTTCTTTATAACTCCCTATAAGGGTTGGGGAGATATTTTATTTTGTAAAACAAACAAATAAAAGTGATATGGGAGTACTTCCTATATTCTGTTCTATTGCTATCTCTATACTATTACTATGATAATTACTATTACTATGACAATAACTATACTATTACCTATTACTCTATTGCAATTACCGATATACTATGCTCTATACTGTTACTAGTATACATCAACGTTTCTTTCTTAAGCCTGTTCTGCCTTAAGTCCCCTCTCTCTGAGATTTCTTCTTTTTCTGTTAATAGACAGCATGTAGAGCTCTTGCACCTTTTTTATGTTGTGCTTTGTCTTGCTGGGCCTCTATATAACTACTGCCAACATCTGGCTTCATCCTAATTAGCTTTTCACTTAGACTGATGCAAATTGAGCAAAAAAACCTTTTTAGTCCAAATATTGGGTTTTTAAAATATATAATTACCTAATTTTGTACTTATTTGTCTGACATTTAGGAGGCTTTAGTTTTGGAGTGTGAATGATTTTCATTAAGGTTTTTTTTTAAAAAAATTGTAAATATTTCTTGATCTTTCCCAATGTAGTCATTGAAGAAGTCGCCTAAAGCTTTGGAAAATAAGATGAAATGAAGTTTTCACCTTATACTTAAGGTGAAACATGAAGCTCATTTGAATCACAAAGATTAAACACCTCATTGGGAATTCCAAGAATATGTATCGAACAAGAAATTGAACCTTAAGTAACCATTCTGGTAGACAATTAATAGGGCTCTCCTGTCCCTGGTCTTTGTTTCCTAAACAGGGTTACACAGCAAGTCTGTAGTTTTGTTTTGTTTTCCTATGAACATAAGATATAAATATTTTGATTCTTAACTTTCATTTTAAAATAATATTAGAAATCTGCAGAAATCAGTCACTCTTCTGCTTAGTTTTGACAGGCAAGCTGGGTTCGTACATCATTTTACAAACTGATATTTGTACCAGCCTATTAGTCCCAAAGTGCTCCAAGAACACCTCATAAATACCTCTTTGTTGGATCAAGCAAGGCTTTTTTCTGACTATTGTTCTCTCAAATGGTAAATGTCCTCTCTTGCACTTTAGTCACAATAATAATGTTTAAAGTTACTTACAGAGCAACAAAGAAATTAAGCCTGGTGTGTTCATTTATATTATAGCCAGCCCTCTTGAAATAAACAAAAGTCATTGCCAAAAGATACTGTTGAAAGAAAGTAAAATATTAATGTACCTTTTTTCTTTTTGTCCTAAAAATGACAAAACAGTCATTTGATCAACAGAAAAAACATTTTTATCATCCAAAAAAAGAACATTATTATTTTTTATTAATTGCCAAGCACAGTGTGGTTTCAAAAATCAAGTGAATCACACCTCTCATTGGATTTTTCAGTCATGCACTGCTATAGAAACTCTGCCTCATGTTCTTACCATCCTAACTTCTCATTATTAGGACATAAAGCAGGGCCCCAGATACAAGTACGTTTATCCAGGATCAAGTAATTTTTCAGTTATCCTGGAAGTTTAGAACTTTATATCATAATATCTACACCATCAGCTGGACCAATGAACAAATAGGAAGCTGATGTAAAACTAATATAAAGGAAAATGGGCCAATAAATCGCAAATACTGGCCTTCTTTTTGTGCTGTAGAGTGAAATGCTGCTAATTACGTAATACCTGTCACAGAAGTGGTTAGCATACCGTGCAGTGTGCCACCTTCTCCACAATCATATTGGAAGCTAATACTTATGGCTGCTCCCCAGTTCTTTGCTGTTTTCTAAGCCCTAACAGATGCAATGCAGCAGAACTCAATTCTCCAACGTTTTATGAAGTTATTCATTACAGTGTTTTAATGTCAGAGTTAAAATTATTTTAATGCCTATGGGTGGGTTTTGAATAGTTAAATATTTTGTCAGATTTTTAATTCAGCAAATGAATAAACAAGGCTGTAAGATGCAGTTATTTAGGCAAGCATCTAAGATCAGACTAAAATTTACCTCCTGCTTGCTGCTTCATTAATATCTATAATGTTTGTGTGTGTGTGTTTCTCCTTCCCAAATAAACATTCTAGAGTCACTCCTACTTATTAGAAAATAGTGTCCAGTATGTATATATTAAGAATTAATCCCACTTTCTCATTTACATCCCAGTAAGACTTTATGAATAAATTAATTTTATTTAGATTTATAAAATGTTGATTTGTATTATTAAAATATTGATCTACCTAAGTCATATCTAATCACATTATTTTTAAACGTTGATATGTGTTATTTAAAACAATAATTAAATTATTAAGTTGAACTGAACATGACATGAAACAATAGGGTTTGGTAGATGACAATAGAATATAAATCCTCTGGTTTTTAAAGTTATACTGATGTAAAGACAACAAGCCTACCTTGTCTGCAATTTTACAGCAACAGTCCATCCATAAAAAATCTTGTATCAAATCATCATCTGCAAAATAAGGCAGCTGTGACAAACTAATTATAATTTATTTATTCATTTATTAAATTCTTTGAAATCACCATTTTAACTATCGAATTATATTTTTGCATGATTCCTGATTCTGAAATATAAAGCCACCAGCTATTTGGGGAAAAAAAGATGCTGTCTCTAAAGAAAATGAAAACCAAGGAAAAAATGGTATGAGCACAAGATGGAAGCCTCTGTATAGTATATGGATTTATGAACCTCACCTCCTAATTCCCATCTTCCACACAAATGAAGGCTGCAGAATTACACAGTAATTACTATCACTGAATTCTGTAAACACTGGAAATTTTTATTTATATTTTGGTTCCCATGAGAACCAAAGCAGTGTTAAAGAGTTTTAAGTTTGTGAGAGTTTCTAAGTTACCACTCTTACACACATAAACAATCAGTTTGCATATTTTATTGAAATGTGAAATGTTATGTGTTTGTCTATTAGGTGTGTATAAATGACTTGATGGCATATAATCAATCAATATGCATATGTATAAAACTATGTATATGTGTGTGTGTACATATATATGTGTGTGTGTGTGGATAGATAGATAGATAGATAGATAGATAGATAGATAGATAGATAGATAGATAGATAGATAGACAGACAGACAGACAGACAGACAGACAGACAGACAGACAGATATAAAATTTCATTAGCGAGTACAAAGAAACCTACCAAATAGTTTTAAAAAAGCTGTCATTTCCTGACGCTGAATAATTAGACATGAACCTTTTGACTGTTTTGGCTTAATATTATTATTAATAATGTTTTTTCCAGAGGTCTCCCGATAGTCTTTAAACTTAGGGCGTTTAAGGGCAAGTGTTTTTTTTTTCTGATATGATTTAGATTCGCTTGGTTTTACATGAATGGTAATAGTTGGAGGTGTCCGACAGCAACTCTGGTTATGTTTCATTTTCCTAAATGAAGTTACCTGTTGAAATAAAAATCAATTGTTAGCTAAAATGAAAGTTATGGAAAGGATATCATGAAAAATACACTATGAATAAATGTTATATTTTTCCACATTTTTGCTGGAAAGTACAATATAATTGAATTATATTAGTCTCATTTCTGCAAGTTACTATAGTATTTGTTGTTTTAAAAGGTTATATATAAAAGTCAGTGAGTAACTTAAGTTAACTGTATTGCTCATATCAACAGTTATTAATGGGTGTAAGTAGTTATAAGTTTGGGACAATGGACGTCACCACTGATATTATCAATGCTGTCTTGAAATATGCTAATTTGCAATTCAATGACCTGTTCCAGATTAAAAACAGAATTACCCATGTTTGTGATAGTGGTAATTCTATACTGCTGTATTTTTGGACAAAGTGCGTAGTCATTGTAAATCATTCAAATATGAACAGATTTCACAAGATAAATTTAAATTTTGACAATGCACAATCTTTCTCACATACATTCTTTTATTGAGACAATCTGATAATACATTCTGGAGGACTTAATTAACAATTTGGCCTATGTAATGCATCACATAATATATCAGTTTTTACATGTTATGTAGGTTGTTACTGGCATTATGAAAAAAAGAAGTGAGCAAGCCAACTAACTTTATTGTTTATTTGCCTTTCCTCTCCTTGGGTGTTCATTGCTGCCACTGTTACAGGAGCTGCATGGGCTATAGCTAGTTTCTAAGTGCAATGCAAGGTACTGGCCATCACCTTTAAAGCCTTACATGGTTATCCCTGAGGCTGCCTTTTCTAGGCTGAAGCTGCCCGCCCAGTAAGATCAGGGAGAGGGAGCTTGTTGCAAGTCTTACCGCTGAAGAAATTGCCATCTCCAGGGATCTTGTAGTTCAGCCTTCTTGGTAATGATCCCCCTCCTCTAGGACAGTCTATCTCTAGATACCCAGACTACCCTTCCCTATTTTGTTTCCACTGAGCCATGTTTTTATGGCTCTTCCAAAGGGCTTTTGTGGATGAGTAACCATATTACCCCAAAACGGTGGTGCATCAGACTGTTGCAATTTTTATGGATGGATTTTATTATAAACATTAACCTTATTTGTTGGTGTACTGTAAGCTACTCAGTTTTTGGAAAGTAAGTAAGTAAATAAGTATATATGTATTGTCGAAGGCTTTTACGGCCGGCATACGATGGCTGGTGTGGGTCTTCCGGGGTGTGTGGCCGTGTTCTTGAAGTTTTGTTTCCTAACGTTTCGCCAGCACCTGTGACCGGCAT